AAGAGTCTAAGCCAGGCTCACACAGCCTGCAGCTCCCCCTGCAGGCGACTGAGTTCCTCCAACTCCTGCTTGTGACGGTCTGTCTTGTGGGCCACCAAGGATCGGTAGAAATGTAGGGCAAAGGCCATAAACACAAGTCCCACAGGTACCATGATCGCTGTGGAGGCCATAGCTGCCTGCCAACCTGGCCCATGGGCACCACCACACACTTGCCGGGGTGGACAGGCTTTGGAAGGCTGCTGTGGTGTGGCTACAGAAGCAGAGGACGGAGTGAGGTTGGAAGGTAAACTAAGGGTCACCGGTGGCACCTGGGACATTGGTACCACAGGAGCTGGTTTGTTCATGGGTGCCCCAATAGGCACAAACTTGACCCAGCCCACCAGAACAACTTCAGCTAGGAAGAGAAAGGTGCCCAAGGCAGTGGAGAAGCCCCAGGCCAGCTCCACATATCGGTGCAGTCGCTGGTGCGGTGACTGGTGGACAGAGTTGAGATTGTGGATGTTGCTCACGGCTTCGATATGGGGCAGCAGGCATGTGGAGACCATGAGTGCAAAGAGGTGCACGGCTACCAACACGGTGGTGCAGGCACTGAAGGCCACTAGCAGGCCTGGGGGGTACTCATGGTCACTCTCCAGCTGCACCTCCACCATGGCCACCTGTGGGCACAAGAGGGAGACATGAGTCGCTGTGACAGCTTCGTTCAGCAGACTTACAACAGTGCCTAGAAGATACTCGGCTGGCCCTGCCCATCCCACCTTCTTTCTTTGAGTAGGGTCTTACTGGTTGTGTGTGTGCGCGTGTGTATGTGGGTTTTTGGTTTGTTTGTTTTTGTTTTGTTTTTTTGAGACAGGGTATCTCTGTGTATCCTTGGCTGTTCTGGAACTCACTCTGTAAAACAGGAGGCTGCCCTCAAACTCAGAGATCTACCTGCTTCTGCCTTCCAAATGCTGGGATTAAGGCATGTGCCACCACTGCCCACCTGTTTGAAATTTGCTGGGCAGCCCAAGTTGAACTGAAACTGATCCTCCTGCCTCAGCTTTCCCAAGTGCTGGGATAAGCCACCACTGCCCTTCAGTTACAGCCCTAACTAAAAGACTCTGCTGTGTCCTGTACTTTGAGTTCTCCACCATCTCTATCAAGCTAACATTTTTCTGAGTTTTTACCTGGTTATAACATACGGGTTAAAAAAGCACAGACTTGGGTAGGAGAAATGGCTCATCAGTTAAGAGCACTGGTTGTTTTTCTAGGGGACCTGGGTTCAATCCCCAGCTCCTACATAGCAGCTCACAATTTTAACTCGAGTTCCAGAGGATCCATGACACCAGGCAAGCACATGGTGCAGGCAGACAAACCAGCCATATAAATGAAATAAATAAATCTTTAGCAACAACAACAAAGCATAGACTCAGAGGCTGGGGATTCATAGGTTCTGTCCCCAACCCACAAAAAAATGAATGAATGAATGAACAAGGAAAGCACACTCAGGCTGGTATGGAGACACATTTATTAGCTCACCATGTGGGAAGCTAAAACAGAACGATCTCGGGCTTTGAGAGCAGCCTATGCTACATACTGAAACTTTGTTTCCAAAGAACCCAAAAGGGCCTTTAAACTCAGAACTGAAGAGGCGCACCTAGGGCTACTCAGAGACCCTATCTATATTAAATAAATAAATAAAACGGTCAGGCAGTGGTGGCACAGGCCTTTAATCCCAGCACTCAGGAAGCAAAGGCAGACAGTCTGAGACCAGTCTGGTCTACATCATGAGTTTTAGGATAGCCAAGGCTACACAGAGAAACCCTGTCTCAAAATCTCAAAAAGAGAGAGAGAGAGAGAGAGGTTACAAAAGCCCAAAACAAAATCTCTCTGGGTGCTCGGATCCATTCTTAACTCTACAATCTGTAATCCCTACACCCCAACAGTCCATTAGTCCAGACTTGCCTCAAATTCACTATCTTCCTGCTTCAATGTCCTGAGCAGAATTACAGTTATGTGCTACCTTGGCCAGCTGTGTAATCTTTGAGCAAGTGCCTCCCTCAATTTCCTACCTGGAAAAAAAAATAAAAATGTGGATAGTAGGCTCATTGAGAATGTTCAGATAATACACATTAACTGCCACAAAGAGAGCCAGGCACAGACTGAGCACTATCAGAGCTGATGCCAGCCTCCAAGCACTCAAAAAAAAAAGTTGCCAACTCCTAAAATTGACGAAGCTTCCTATGTTTCCAAGTCAATCGAAAAACTTGGCAGATCCAGTGACATCAGGTCCACATTCAAATATGTCAACTATCTAAACTGAATCATAGCTGCTCATTTCTGACAGGTCAGGGGGTCGCCTGGCCATGTGACTCCACCAAGCCGGCCTGGGCTTTGCAAACATTAGAGCTGATGTACAAATTTGGGCTCTGAAGCTAGGCTGCTGAGTCAAAATCCTGTCACTAGCTAGTTGGGTCCCAACATCTTGGACCTTTTGTCAGCGGAAAAGCTGACAATCTAGTCACACCTACACCACACACACTGGACCTGCTAGAGTGTTGAACGCTTGTTGAAATAGGATTTCATGGAGCCCGGGTTAGCCTAGGAACTCTCTGTATAGCCCAAAGCCTTGCTTTTCCTTTCTACCTCAAGTGCCGGGATTATAAGTGTGTTCCAGTCTAGTTTATGCTGGAGATTGAACCTAGGGTTTTCCGAAGGGTAAACACTCTACCACCTAGGCTACATCCATAGCCTTTGGATACAATTTATATACTGTGAATCTATCTCAGGCCACCTGGGGGTTAATTGGGTTTCCCCTCATTTCTGTGCAAGGATCCTGGGGATTGTATTGGGCCTAGAAGAGAAGGTGCAAGATAGCAGCGGCGGTAAGAAAATAAAGTGGAATATTTTGGGAAATTGGGCCATGGCAGACAGTAGGCAGGTGTTTCCACACACAGGGTTCTGGGTCAGCCTCAATTCTGGTTTCTCCCAGGGGTCTAACCCAGTCTCCTCTCCTCAGGACTTGGGCGAGTCCCTGCTCCCAAACCTACACATCCAGCCTGCTGATCCTCAGAGAAGGCCCTGACTCTTCTGTTGCCATTCCAGTGATCTGCAAGATCTGCAGACTGAACTGGGGCTGGGCTCCCTCAAACTTTCTGGTGATGACGGGGAGTCGATTCCTTACATCAAATGTCATCTTCACCAGGAACAGTGAGCTTCTCTGGGGAGTCTGAGCCCCTCATAAACACCACAGACCAAGAACGACCTTTAGGTTAGATTTTTCATTCAGTTATCGAGATTGCAGAACAAAGGGAGGTAGTAAGCCAAGTTACTTCTTACATGACCGCACCTGAACTCCCTCCAACGTCTTACACAAGGATACACTGAGGATGCCCTCCCTCCTGGCCGGCTCTTTCCTCCCCACCCCCTCCAATCTTGTGAAGAAAACTTAACCTAGAAGAGGTTCACTCTACACCCTCCCCCTGCTGAGTGCCCTGTCAAAACATCAGCTTCCCTCCAGGTCACTTAGCACTTGGCTCTGAAGTTTCTTTGGTAAGTGGAGCTTGTTCTGACACACCTAGCTCTAGGGGGTCTCCATAACACTTCCAGCTTCTCCTGGACAAGTTTGGCAAACCACAGAGGCAGCACCTTCTATGATGTCAACTTCCTACCGACGGCTCAGGGTCGCACAGCTGGCCCCGAGTAGGGAGGAACCAGGACACATCTGTGTTCTGCACCCTGGAATCTTCTTCAGTCCCACTTCCTGAGGCCACTGCTGGGACCGTTAGCTGATACTATCCTCCCACACCTGCGGTTTATCAGACTTCATTTATCGTTAGCTCCCTGACCAGCTTCCTTCCCCAGCAGCTTCCTCGCCGGCTTCTTACTTTTCGGGGCAACTCTAGCATTCGTCGAGCCTTCAGAGAGGTGGGGGCATCTTCCATACCCTAGCCCCCTTCCCCTGACCTGGTTGATAACGGCTCTCATTCAGCTCCACTTGCCTTTCAACTCTCGCGGACTTGGTAACTAAGCGACTTCGGTGAGAAAGACCTTTCCTCCACCAGTCTGCTCATGATACCCCTGCGATCGATCTTCCTCAGTCGTTTATATTCTTAAGGCCGTGCCAACGACAACTCTGTCCCTGACATAAAGGGCTTTTCCCAGTCCCTTGAGATTTCGCTCCTTCCATGACGCTAAAGAACCCCTTCTATTTCGTCCCGCACTCCCTTGGGACCCGTTTTCTTGCCTCCTCGACCCGGAGCCCACCACGTGCCTCGCCCACCCCGTGTGCCCCTTCCCGCCCCTCACCATGGCGAAGCCCGACAGCAAAGCAGATGTGCGGCTGGAGGCTTTGAGCTTAGCCCGGCTGAGGTAGAGGCGGCGCCAGCTGAGCGCCCGCAGGGAATGCTGGCTGGCCCCCATAAGGTCCAGGTAGCCGCGGTGCACGAACTCCCGGTACGTGGCCGAGCCCGCGGGGCTGTCCACCTCCGGGTTCAACGGGGCCTGTTCGCCCGTGTCCCCCTCGCCGCCCTTCATCCTGAGAACAGCTACTCCGCCCGCGCCGACCGTCACGGAGGGGCCGAGGCGCCTTGGGACCCCAAGAAGGGCTGGCCCAAGCGCGGGCGGGACCTCATCTCTGCTAGCCCCAGCGGGAGCAGAAGCGGGTGTCTATAAGGCCCGGGGACCGAAGCAGGAACTGGGGCAGGGGCGGAGCCCCACGACCACATGATTGGGTGGAGCCGAGACCGAACCCCAGCAATCTGGCCCGTGGGCAGAGATCCCGAGGGAACCCCACGACCCGGGCCACCAAAAATAGCCCAGTGCCTTCGAGCTACCAAGGTGAACGCCCACAGCTTCCGTCTGGGAACTCGCCGGCTTCAGACCACCCAAACTACACCTGGGCAGTCCCAGGTGCCCAGACGTCCACAGTCCTCGCACGGGGATCTCAGGGAAGCGAGCCCCTTCCGCCATCCTAACCCACCACTCAGACTCGACACCGCAGACAGACACAGGAAGTCAGCGGCCCCGGCTAGAAGATTCTGAGTTTTATAGCAAACCATATTGTACAGACTTGGGGGTTCAGGGGGGTCCAGCCCGGCTGGGTACCCCACTTGCCCCTTGCCGGGGTGCCTCCTCCCCTCCCTCAAGCTGCCCCATCGTCAAGCTTTTCTCCAACCCCAGGCCCCCCCTCCCTCCTGCCTTTGGTCCGCCCAGCCCCCGCCCCCAACCCGCGCACCTTCCTGTTACCTGAGGTATGTGGATAGATTCCCCTCCCCCCACCCCCATGTGGTACAATCCAGTTCCCCCTGGCCTAAGTTGAGTGGGACCTGGACCCGACTCCTCCCTCAGGCTCTTGAGACCCCACCCCCACACTGAAAGAAGAAAAGGGGTGGGGAGAGGGGAGGTGCCAAGGGTCTGTTACTAAGTTCCCACAGCAACTAAGAGGGACCAGTTCCAGTCTTAGCACTGATTTCCGGAGGTGTCCATTGGCTGCTATTTCCACGGCAACCAGAAGTGGCAGTTCCCTGGGCAAATGGGACACAGTTTCCATGACGATGAAAGAATGGGAAGAGCCAAACTGGAGAAGTCCCATCTTGCCCATCTTTAAGCTGAAATCCCCCACCCCAACTCAGGTTGGAGGGGTGGAGCTGTTCAAGACAGTAACGCAAGAGAGCTGAGCTGGGGGTGGGAAGTCCAAACTGGGTATCCACTAGCTCAGTCTTGGTCAAGCCGGTCCCCTCACATCACACTCCCCCAGGTCCGAGGTTCCCCCGGTTCAAGTAACACTTCAGTACAGATGAATGTTCAAGTATTGTGTAGAGAGCCAGGCAGGGGTCTGGGCTACCCCTTGCCACTCCCCTGGGCCATGAGCTGAACAACAGGTAGGCCCACGGCCCCTACTCCTTGCAATAGCTGCCATTTTCAGTGACGTTCAAGGAGTCAGGGCGAGGGAAGGAACTGAAATCAGGGTGGAAGGAAGGGGCGAGGGGTAACCCCACAGAGAGGGTACTATCCCCCTATCTGCTCCTCTCCCAGGCCCAAGTCCTGGCATTTCCTGGCTTCTAGAGCCCCCTATCCGACACCTGGATCCTCAATTGCTCCTCTGGTTTCCCTTTTTGGCCCCCCTTCCCACCCAACTGGTCTTTGTTTCATGAACCGTTGTTGGTCTGCTTTCTGCCCTCCCCACACCCATTCTTCACCTCCCCCAGCCCCCTGGCTCCCAGTATCCTGTGTGCAAGATACCATTTCCCCTCGTTCTTCCCTACTTGTGCCTTCACACCCCCCACCATCCCTTTGGCTCAGCACCTCCCCAGTACCCCTTGACCCACACCCCCACGGGGACAGACAATGAAGCAGGTGAAAAGGAGAGATGGGAAGCAAAGACCCCCAGAGATATCAGTGCAGGTGGGAGAGAAGGGGAAGGCTGGCTCAAGTCCCTGGGCAGGAATCCCAAGTCATTAAAGTTAGAGGAGAGCCAAGTCATGAAGACAAATAACCTGGCCTCCCAACAGGGGGTGAAATGAAGGCGCCAGGTCCAGGCGCTCGAGTGGAGTCCTGGGGGAAGGGAATACAGGCACCCAACTAGCTGTCCTTGAGAAGTAGCTTCTCTTCTGGGCAGCGAAAGGGGCCAGGTGGTCCAGCAGCTGCCAACCGGGCACAAGCTTCAGGTGAGAGCTGGCGGCAGGAGCGTAGGTCCAGGCGGCGAAGACGTGGGCAGCGACGAAACAGTGGAAGGCAGTGGTCCGTGAGGCGGTGGCATCCTAGGGAATAGGCAGTACCGCTGAGACCAGAGTCGGTAGTAGGCAAAACACAGGGAATTCACACTGCCCAGGCAAGCAAGGTGTACAGGGGATCCCACTTACCAGCGAGATTGAGGTGCACCAGTGTCTCTCGGAGAGGGGAAGTGGGAGCCGTCAGGAGGTGAACACTTGGGTCCCCGACATGGGCGCAGTGACTCAAATCCAGGGCACTGAGCTGGGGAGCATGGCGCAGCAGGAGCCTCAGGGAGGCATCAGTGAGCTCCAGGCCGGCTAGGCGAAGTTCTGCCACTCCCTGCAGCCTACCTCGGCTCTCCGTTTGCCCTGGGCAGACAAAGTAGAATTTAGCACCCAAGGTTCTTCCTACCTCGGATCCTACCCCAGAGCACGGCCACTACCCTAATGGTCACTGTCTGCCCCACACCTACCCCCAGCATGCGAGAGCCCCCCTGCTGCTCCACGTGACTCGCTCTTCCCAACACCCACAGCACCCAATGTCAGATGACCGCTGCTCCTATCTCCCCAGGGAGCCTCCCGTGAGAGCTAAGTCTTAACATTCCTCTCATGACCCCCACCCCCAGTATCTGATACACTGAATACATTTTTTCCTCAAGGATCTTTTTCTCCCTACATAAAAATGTCAGTTCCAAGAAAGCAAGACCTTTTGCCCACTGCTCTGTCCCCAGTAGGATGCTCAGTAACTTAATAATAATGCAACCAACAGCACCCCGCCACTCTCCCCATGACCAGTGAGGTCACGATTCTGGCTCAACAACAGTCCCGCTTCAACTCCTCCACCATGAACCAGGTCTGACGGCAGCCACCCTCCCACACCCTTGCTATGTCGCTCTGGCTGGCCGGACCTCCCTGGCCTCAGGCTAGCATGATTCTCCCGCCTCCACCTCCCAGATGCTACTATGCCTGATTTACTTTCTGGTATCAAGGAACCACTCTCAAACACAAAAGGGATAATATTGCTCTCTCCTCTACTCGAAATCTTCTGGAGGTATGTGTTGGTTGTGTTTTTTTGTTTTTATCTTTGTCAACTTGACACGAGCTAGAATCATCTTCAAAGAGAGACTGTCAACTGAAGAATGGCCTCCATCAGACTGGTCTGCATGCAAGTCTGAGTGGCTGATTGTGGGAGGACCCAGCTCACTGTGGGTGACACCACCTGGGCAAGTAGACCTGGGTAGAACAGATGCAAGCTGAGCAAGCCATGGAGAGCAAGTCAGTAAGCAGTATACTTCCATGAGCTCTGCTTTAGTTTCTGCCTGGAATTTCTACTCTGACTTTATAATGAACTACAATCTGTGAAAAGAAATGAACCCTTTCCTCCTCCAGTTCCTTTGGTCATGTTTTATCACAGCGACAGGAAACCAAGTAGGACAGGATAACTTCCTGATAGAACACTGATTCCCATCTTTGTTTCAGCTTAGAACCTAACTCTATTTCCGCACTCAGGAGCTACATTCCAAAAATGGCTCTGTGCACAAATCCCGATGGAATGACCTATGCTCAAAAGACTGCAGGCCACTGCAGAATGAGTCCAGAGGCCTCCTTTTCTTCTGCCTCCAGGGGAGAGAGTTCAGTGTTCTCACTCCACACTACGGGCTTGAGTTCCTGACTGGTGGGCTGCTGGCCCCACCCCAGAACTGCCATAGGTCTAGCATGAGGCCCAAGATTTCAGGTTTACTTTTCTTTCAAATTATCTTGTGGTAACACTGCTGGGCCTGAAACCACACTCTAAGAAGTCAAGCCCTGGTCAGGCGTGGTGGTGCACGCCTTTAATCCCAGTACTGGGAAGTCAGAGACAGGCAGATCTCTGTGAGTTCAAGGCCAGCCTGGTCAACAGAGAGAGTTCCAGAGCAGACTCCAAAGCTACAGAGAAACTCTGTCTCAAAAAAAGAAAAAAAAACAAAAAACAAAAAAAGAAGCCAAGCCTTGGGACTTTAGAGATGGCTCAGTGGTTAGGCACATACACTGTTCTTCCAGAGGACCTGAGTTCAATTCCTAGTACCCACATCAGAAGGCTCCCAGCCACCTGTATCTGAAGCACTGGGGGCATCTGACACCCCGCCTTATATGAGCATCTGAACTCAAGTGCATATATCCATAATCAGACATACACATATAATTTTAAATAAGAAAAATGAAAAAGCTTTAAAAAGGAAGCCAATTCTCTATTTTGATCACCTCCATCACCAGGTGAGAACCTTGGGGCTCAGATCACGACATCACCTGTCCAAGAGCATATGCTTAAGTCACACAGCAAGGACCCCAGGCCTATCAGACTGATCACAATGCCATCACCTGTCAGGCACTAGCCTGGCTCTGAGAAAAACATCACCATATGTCACAGACTAACAAGGCAAGTTTCTAAAACTGTCCTGCGGCATCTGCACAGTGCTGTGTGTGTGTGCTTGGGAGGGGGGATATCAGGGGTCGGATCTAGGGCCCCATGCATGCTAGGTGAACGCTCTCTGCTAAGCAGTGCCCTTATTTACTTTCTGAGACCACGTCTCTAAGTTGCCTAGGCCTACCCTGAATTCCTGATACTTCTGCTTCAAATTCCTGAGTAGCTCAAATCACAGGAATGGACTACTAGGCTTCAGTCAGAATTATCACTCTTTATTTGAAATTTATTTTTAAGATAAAAATCTTAATTTTAGCTCAGGCTGGCCTCAAGGGTATATTATTCCCCGCTTCTGCCTCAGAAGCTGGGACTACAAGGTGGGCTACCACACCCAGCCTGGCTTAAAACTGTCAGAGAATGACTAACAATATGAAAAGGACATCTTTTGTTGTTGCTGTGTTGTTTTTCAGACAGGGTTTCTCCGTCACCATGTGGACCACGCTGGCCTGTCTCTGCCTCCTGATTGCTGGGATTAAAGGTGTGCACCACCATTGCTCAGCTAAATGTTTTAATAAGTGTGTGGGTATTTTGTTTGCATGTATGCTACCTGTGTGCAGTGCCAGAGGAAGCCAGAAAAGGGTACTAGATGCCCTGGGACTTGAGTCACAGATGGTTATGAGTGACTATGTGGGTACAAGGATTCAAAGTTCCTGTGGAAAAGCAGTCGCTGAGCCATCTCTTCAGCCCCTAAAAATGACATTTTAGTATAGAAATTTAGATCAGAGATTTTTTTGTGAAAACCCATGCTTGCTTTACCCTGACAATGAATGGCAGCATCAAGGCTGTTGGTGCCACTAAGGTCTGGCACCCAAACATTGCTTCTGTTATTTCCTCTGTGGTCCTTCAACTCGGCAAGCCCTGAGTTCTCCCCTCCAAATAGCTCACAGCGTAGAGGAGGAGCACATTTACAGATTGGCCACAGGCCAAGTCCGCCAGAGGGAAGAAAGGTCATTTAGAACTTGTGGGGAAAAGGGCAGGGCCCATTAGTGTATGTCACAGAAGTGAGAAATCTGAGCATGTTAAATAGTCTAAGAGTAAAGACAGCTCCTGAAATGGGAGAAATGATCAGAAAAAGAAGGAAGACGATGATTAAAGAATCTGGGTTCCAGGCTGGAGAGATGGCTCAGAGGTTAAGAGCACTCACTGGCTGCTCTTCCAGAGGTCCTGAGTTCAATTCCCAGCAACCACATGGTGGGTGGCTCACAACCATCTCTAATGAGATTTGGTACTCTCTTCTGGTTGCAGGAATACATGCAGAGAGAACACTGTATACATAATAAGTAAATAAATCTTTAAAAGAAAAAGAGAAAGAAAGAATTTAGGTTCCATTGAAGGCCCAGCCTGCCCTGCTCTGCTGAGAGTCACTTGGTGAGAGCCAACAGAAAGAACCCGTGTGTGCTGAAACCTCTTCCCCATGAATTCATGGCTTCAGAGACGTAAAACGTAAAACAACAAAAGCAAGTGTCATGTCTTCTCCTCTAAAGACTTTAAATTTTTTTTTTAAAAAAATTAAAATTAGATGAAGAACGGTCCAGCACAAGAGGTGAAGACGACAGGGGAAGGAACTTGGAGAGAACTTGGCCAGGCTGAAGTAGCCAACATACAGGGATGGTATAAGGCAGGAGACCAGTTAAGCCGGCCCTCAGCTACCACAGTGAAAATACTGGTTTTATTCCATGTGTATAAACCCAGTACTTGGGGAGCAGAGTATCATAGGTCCAGGCCGGTCTAGGCTACAGAACAAAACCTGTCTCAAAACCAAAAACCAAGAAATGGTCAAGTGTGATGGCTCACACTAATTCCAGCACATGGGAGACGGAGGCAAGCTGGTCCCTTGTAAGTCTGAGGCCAGCCTGGTCTATATAATGAGACACTGTGTAAAACCACAGGAACAACAGAAGCCAAGCCAGTAAGCTCAGGGTTAGAGTGATGGCTTAACATGCACAGGGTGTTGTGTGCCGTCGGCATAGAACACAAAAACGTGGTCTTTATTCATAGAGCGAGAGAAAATGAGTTAGAACATGGGCCACAAACAGACATGCCCCTGCCACAAACAGTCATGCCTCTTTGGGTGGTTTTCCTGGCTCTGGTATGAAGAGAATATTGGGGCGGGAGGATGTCTGAGCACTATTACTTCTCATCGGGCCTTCCCTTCCCTTCCTAGGAAACCCTGTCCTTTTGAGACTTAGCTCCTGGCACACAGCAGCATCTCGAGTGAATGAAAATGGCCAAGACAGGCCTTCCTATTCAAACCTATTTCCTTCCATTCCTGCGCTAAGGCTTGGCATGTCAGAAGGGCCTTCAGCGTTACCCCTCCACTTTACCTAAGCCATCTACAGAGGAACACGTGCTGGTCAAACCTGGTTTAGTGTCTGGTGGAGGCAGCAGCAGCTCACGAAGCTGGGAGTCTTTGACATCTTCAATCCAGCGGAGGTCCAAGAGCCGCAATGCCGGCAGTGGGGCCGAGCCCAGGGCAGAGACGGAGAGCCAGGAGCACCCGGAAAGCACCAACTCTTGCAGGCCTAGGAACAAGATCAGGAAGCAGGTGCTGCAACTCCACGGGGCACCCCTCTCTGGGCTCACCCTGTCCTGACTCACCACCGGCCCTACCTTGCAGTCGGTTCAGAAGCCACATGAGCTGCTTTTTGGAGACACCTGTCCAGCTGAGGTCCAGAGCACGGGGCTGGCGGCGAACGACCCCACTAAGCATGGGTGGGGTCAGTGACTTCCTCCTGCTTAGGTCCATCCTAGGCCACAGACGCTTGTCATAGCACCTGCCAGCCACAGGGGGGAGACAGAGTCCTCAGCCACAATTCTCAAGAAATCCACAATGTCAACACTCACCGGAGCTCTCCACAGTCCCATGGATGACAATAATCTTCTGACTCCAGCCAAAGGACTGGATTTGGGATCCCACCTCATTGCTAACTGGAAGCAAGACCCTGGGCAAGTCCACTCCTCTCCCTGAGTCAGGAAGACTTCAGTCACAAACTGAAGATAATGATTCAGTGCTTGCCAGATAGCTACAAATTCCATACACATTATTTGATGTAATTAATGCCAAAGAGATCTGAGAGAAGCCCCCAGACTCTACCTCTGGGCTCCTTGACTTCTCTCACTAAGTTATAATAGCTCACAGGCAATTTGCAACTTACTCTGGACTTACAGCCCGCTATTTTCTGTCTGCTGGATTATGGAGCTTGCCTCACTAGGATGTCAGTTTCACAGGCACACATCTGGCCTTTTTCACCTCTGGACCCCAGCATCCAACACAAAGGCAGGTGCGAAGTACAGGTTAGTTAGTGCACTTGCTGACGGACTACATCAAGCCAGGCTGTCACTCGTGCGTTCCCGCAACAACTCATCCGCCATTCTGCATCTATTCACTGTTTATGGAAGGCCTGGTGGGTCCCAGGCACTGGAAAACAAATGTAAACACAGACTCCGAAGGCAAACAAGTCCCACTCCAGCATTCCAAAGACTCAACGAGTCCACAATACAGTGAGTGGAAGGCTCGCCAATAGTTTATTAAGTAACCTTCCCCAGCTCTCCTAAAGGTATGCTGAAGCTCCTCCACGAGACTCCACGGTCTTCTGTAATTTTCAAAGGCAAACCAGGGAATTCCCACTTTACTAGATGTGCAGGCAGAGCAGCAGGCTGGGGATGAACACTGGGCAGCCTTAGGCTGGAAGAGGGATTACTATGTCCTTTATCTGTCTATTTCTGTGTATAACATGGGTTTATCTTTTTTGGTCTGTTTGAGAAAGGATATCACACTGTAGCCCAGGCTGGTCTGAAACTCACTTTGTAGCCCAAACTGGCTTGGAACTCACTAGTCTAGGCTATTTTAGAACTTGAGGTGGGCCAGGCATGATGGTGCGTGCCTTTCAGTCCAGCACTCAGGAGGCACAGGCCGGTGGACCTCTGTGAGTTTGGTCTATATAATGAGTTCCAGCACAGACAGGGCTTTGTAGAGAGACCCTGCCTCCCAAAACAAAAGAACATCCAGGCAGTGGTGCACACACCTTTAATCCCAGCACTCAGGAGGCAGAAGCAGGTGGATCTATGAGTTCAAGGCCAGCCTGGTCTACAGAGTCAGTTCCAAGACAGCCAGGAATATAAAGAAACCCTGTCTGGAAAAACAAAAACAAAACCAACCAATGTTGTGCTGGGAGTAGAGACACATGCCTGCAATTCTAGCACCTGAGGTGGAGACAGAACAATCAGGAATTCAAGGCTGGCCTCAGCTAAACAAGACCCTGTCTTTAAAAATGAACAGCAGACAACAGTGGTTCACAGAAAGGTGTAACTTAAAATAGACACAAAGGCTACAGCTGCTTGGTCAGTAAAATGCTCGCCATGCAAGCCTGGTGACCTGCTGAGTTCTGTCCCCAGAACCCATGTGAAGGTGGGGAAAGCTGACCTCAGTCATCCTCTTACCACACCTCCTCCCAAATAAGAAAACATTTAAAGGCCAGTGGGACACTGTCACCAAGCCAGTGACTCAGAAGGTAAAGGTGCTGGTGACAGGCCTGATGACAGAATTCGGGTCCCAGGATGCCACCTCGCCTTACTTCACCCACCTCCAGCCCCTCAAGAGACAGACACACCACACATACACATACACGCGCACACACACACACACAAATAAATAGAATGAAAAAGTCAGTAAAGAAATGAAATTTAAATAAATACAATAAAAACTATTACATTCCAGCCAGGAGTTGCTATGACTGTAAACCACTTAAAAACCATAGTCAGTTGGCAGGCGCTATGGATTAGAAAGGTGTTGAAGGACAGACACAGCGGCTCCCAACAGACTTCCTTTGGAAAACCAACAGATTTAGTTTTGATTTACTTAAAGGGTCAGATAACTGGGCACAAAGCACATGCTGGTAGCCCTAGCTGCTCAGGAGGCTGAGGCAGGAGGATCACTCGGCTAAGGAGTTTGAGGTCACACTGAGCAGTGGAGCCAGAGTCTGACTCAAAACAACAAAAACAGAAAACGAAACCTTGCCAACACTCCACAGCTGAACTGCATTTCAGCAAAGGTTTCAGTTGGACCTCTACCTCTCTCCCACCCCTCCCTCCTTTCTGCAATTCCAGGCTTTCCTCCCCTCACTCAGCCAATAAACACACCTCTCCAGTTCTAAGAAGAAACCAACAGCCAGCACATCCACCATCCAGCCAGCTTCTTCCCTTGCTGCTCTGCCCTCCTGCTACATCCGAAGCCTTGAGTCCTAGCTCAACAGCTCCTCTCCTTGAAGGCCTCCTGGATTGACAACACTTGGAAAGAAAATCCCAATTTGAGGGTACTCACAGGTCCCCAATTTCGGTTCTGTATTATATTACACAAAAGCCAGGCCAGCTAGGGCCAGCATACTCTGGCACCTTCTTTGTTGCTAGGAAGCCAACTCTCCCAGCCCCTTCAAGGCTCAGCTCTGAACCTTCACCTTCAGGAAGTCTCTTGGCTGGAGTCAACTCATCCCCCTGCAGTCAGGCCCCAGGACACCAGGACTAGACCTTGGTGTGGCAGTCAGCAACTGTTGAGGTCCTATTGATAGGAGTATCCACTGGGGAGGACCAATATGGTAAGGACATATGACACCTCAACCCAGAGACCAGGAGAAGGGAACATCCTGTAAAGATAATGCTGGAGCTGAGGCTGTGAAGAAAACATTCTCACTCCAGAAAGGGGAAGGTGGACAAAGGCAGAACAACATGGCACTCTGGAAAACTCCAGAATGGGGAAAATTCCCCCTAACATAATGGTGCTGAGACTACAGGCCTGACAGCATGTGTTTATTCAAGGATTACTATGTATCACGGTCTGTTCTTTGCACTATGCATCTAAGTCCACACATCTCCCTGGGAGATGATTATCACCCCCTTTGTTCAGTTAAGAAAAATAAGGCCCAGAGAGGTTAAAAAAATGTACTCAAGAGCCAGAAAGAGGGCTTAGCAGTAAAGAGCATTTCCCGCTCTTGAAGAGGACCTGGGTTTGGTTCTCAGAATCCACATGGCAGCTTACAACTACCGAAGCTCTGGTTCCAGGGGATCCAACACGCTCATGCACGCCTTTGGTGCATATAAAGGCACACAAATACACATAAGTAAATTATAAACAAGAACAAAACCCTGTTCAAGGACCCATAGGTATTAAGTGGATGGAGCCTGAATCCTGAATGGAAAAAGGCAGGATGGTGGCTACCAAGGAAGCCAGGGTGGCAGCAGGGAGGTCAAAGGGGATCGCAAGGCCAGGCTGCACACTGTCACAGGCACAGAACCAGAGGTGAGTGTTTAAGCTGGAGACGTCTAAAGCCCGGGCCTTCCACCTCCACACTTGGGGAGCCCTCTCTGGGCCTCTATTTCCCAAGCCATAAAATGGGGTAAGAGTTCTGACTTCAAAGGCTTGTTACAGCAACAAAGGGAACAGCAGAGGAAGGGTTCACTGGTGCCCAGCATATGTCCAGCGGAACTGCGGACCGGTTGAAAGTGACAGAGAGCCATGGGTGTCTTTCAAGCTGGGGAGGTGACACTGAGAAAAGTGGCATTTAAAAGACAAGGCACACACACGTTCCATTTCTTTTTCCTTTTCTCCTTCGAGACAGGGTTTCTCTGTGTAGCTCTGGCTGTTGTGGAACTCTCTGTAGACGAGGCTGGCCTCAAACTCGTAGAGATCCACCTGCCTCTGCCTCCTGAGTGCTCGGATTATGAGATTAAAGGTGTGTGCCACCACTGCCCAGCTGAGGACTCTTGAATAGGTAAGCCTGGATATCCCTGTTTTGACTCCAGCCCAGCCCACGTCCTCCTGTCCTCCATTGCAGTTTCAAACTTCATCTTGCAGAAGGTCCTGGGGATAGTGCTGGGCCAGCCCCGAGTGCTCGCTCAGGGTCTGCATCACTGGGGACACAGGCCACAGCTAGCTTTCCCTTTCTAAGAGCTTTCTGGGATTCCTAAACTCCACTGTCCTCCAGTCTCCCACCAGCCAGCCTTGACCACGCGCCAGTCCTTCCTACTTCCTTCTCTGCCCACGTCCTTGAAAACTGCAGTGTCTACCTGGTACATCAACACCTCCTCCACAACTCCACAACTCCCCTGCCCGCCCCTTTGCCTCCCAGTTCTAAATAATCAAAGCCACCAGACAGGAAAGCCTGCAACTGCCTGCTCTCCCACTTACAGCCCTCTCCAGCTACACCCTCTCTACCTCTTCCCACACCCATTCTTCCTTTATGCTCATCCACTCCATGCTGCCTTAACAGCTAGAGAATGCCAGATGCCTCTCGGAAACCAGGGGCAAAGCAGGACCACTGGACCAAGTCCCTCACTTGAAGCTGATGGTGGACTCTGGCTTTGGCTCTCCCGCCTCTAAGCACAGTCAAGAATAGCAAGGTTTTGTATGTGTGTATGGCTGGAGACAGAATCCAGATCTTTTGCATATTAGGCAAGCAGTCCACTAG